ATTTGAACCAAAATTGTATTTATAATAATTAAACATTACCATATCTTTGTCTCTTTTACTTTTTAAAAACACAGCCATTTTAGTAAAATTCGTTATATGTTTAYACGTCGACGTTGCATATACGCACTACGCTGGTAATCTTTTTTGTTCATTACTTTTATAAGTTTTAAGTATGTAATTTGTTTTATGGTTAGGTACCTTTTTAAATTAGATAAGATAAGCTACGGTAATGATGCAGCACATTGATAAATTCGCTTTATAGATTTTGATCGATTTCAATTCGATAACGACTGGATTATTGCTATAGCCTATAGGTATTATAACGTTCCCTAAAATATACCTAATATTTGACTGAACTATTGCCAACATAATTTTAAATTGGTCTAAACTACTCTGGGCGAAACGGAAATCATAAAAATAAAATTTGGGCAAAACGGGTACCCGGGCGAAACGGGTACGGTCATTTTTGGGCGAAACGGGTCCCGCCCACAGTCGGGAGGCAATTCGTATAAAAATTATGGGCCTTTTTGACTTCGGGAGGTAACTAGTGTGCGCCCAAAACAATTGTTCCTCCAGGCACGGAGGACTTAGTAAATTATTTTGAATCAGTTTATGTAAGTGGTCCTTTGCGTCGAATAGGAACTGATTACGATTTAAGTATTCGGTTTTATCGACTTCCTTTTCAATTCCCTCTTCCAACGTGGAATGTGCACCAATGTACCTTATTAGATAGTAATAGAAACAATAACGTGTGTGAAGGATGGAATAATAGGTTCAGTCATTTGGTCAGGCATAAAAATTCATCGATATTGAAATTATTAAAAAATATGCAAAAAGGTTAGGTTAGGTTAGGTTATGCACTCCCCCGATGAGACCCACCTTGATGTGGTGGGGGGGGGGCTCACCGACTGGTTGGTTCCAAGAGGTTCCCATTCACACGGTCCTGACTTTAACTAGTTGGGTCCGGAGCCTCCAGAGCCGCCTCTGACCTTAACCGGTTGGCGGAAGGTATGGTAACCACCTGCTACCACCAGAAAACGGACTCTGAAGGAAAACAGTAAACCACATTGGAGAAGTGATCGACCTCTGGTGTCCCGGTAGATCTGGCAATTGGACAGAATACGGACAGACGACGCAAGGCTGGCGTCGTCAGTGGCAGCCTAGCCACACACTAACTTATCATTATGGAACAGCAAAACGAATCGGATGTTACTGCATCAGGGGATTCGGACCCCCAGATGTCGGCGGTTGGGGGACGGTGCTCGCCCCAGGTGTCGTTATCACCTCCAGGCACTGAAAGTGTAGGGTTGCCGAAGCAAGGCCCTACCGCCAACAACGGTGTTGGTATTGTTACTGCTGTTGAGGGTGCTGCGCAGGCCCTCAACGGTTGCCGGAAAGCCACTGAAGTCACTGCAGCAGGCAATGCTGGGATTTTGACGGACGCGAACTTGGTCAGAACTTCGCTAAAAACTCTGAGGACGTGCCCCTCCACGCAGGACGGTGGGCTCAAACTACTAGACGAGACGGCCAGGTCGCTCGAGACATGGTCCACCAAAGTTAGGAGTCCTTACGTCAAGAACGCGATCGTGGAGATTTTCTCGGTTGTCGAGCGCCTCGGGAAGTCACGCGACGCCGTCCACAGGGCATACAATGTGCTGTCGGATAACACCATTCACAGCAGCAACCAGTCACAGGCGGGGGTGGCACCAAGACCGGCCGGCCGGAACGCAGGCACCCAAACCACGGGTAGCAATACCGAGGGCAGTCAGGAGAAATCACGTGGAAGCGTGGCGACCAAGGACGCCACTACCAACATGGACGCTCCCGCCTGCGAACCACCTCCTCCAAAGCCACAGCTGGCAGGCGAGAAGCAGAAGCAACAACATCCTCTACAGCAGTCGCAGTCTGAGCAGAAACTGGGCATGCAGGCTAAGAGGAAGAAGGAAAAGAAGAAGCAGCCCAACAAGGAACAGCAGCAGCAACAACATCGTCGGGTAGAGTTGGAGCAGCCCAGCCAGGAATTAGATCAGGACCAACTTCAGCAGCCAACATGGAGCTATGTGGTGAGAAGGACCAGGAAGTCGAAGAAGGAAGATGCTCCTCCCTCAAAAAAGGTGCAACCTACGGCTGCGGAAAGACTTTCCCTACTACGTCGCAGGGTCCCAAAAACGGCGGCAGTCACCATCGACCGCCCTGCTGACAAAGGTTCACTAGCCGCTGTGATGAGGAAAGTGCCCAGCTCAATCAACCTTGCATCACTCGGTGTCAGCGTAATGACAACGAGAAAGACAAGAGCTGGCGGTATACTACTTGATGTTGATGGGATTGAGAAAGCCTCTCTTCTAGCTGATAAGATCCTGTCAGTAATTGGGGACACTTCTAGGGTCAGGCCATACCTGAACCCCGGACTCCCGTCCTTATACTGGGCATCCCAGAATGGGTGGAAGTCGAAAACGGACTCGTGCGAGCTGATATCTCTAGTGTCACAGCCGGGGATGTTAGTATTCAGAGGAACGCTGGTGGCCGGGGTGAGTACGTGGCCAGCCTAACCCTGCCTCTCAAGGACGCTATTCAACTGGCAGAAACGAAGGTAGTCACCATAGGATGGACGAAATGCAGAGCCAAGCTGATAGAGAAAAACCGATGCTAAGAAAAAGAACATTTCGCCGTTGAATGCCGCAACGAAGCAAAGTCCCGCCACTGTCACAGGTGTCAAGATGAGGGCCATCTTGTGGGGGACTGCAAGCAACTACCGCGGACACTGCATCGAACTCAGTCTAACGAGATGAGCCAGCAACAGCCCTCGACTTCTCGGAATGAGAGCATGATGCGGGAGGAATCAAGTCCCTCACAATGCTTGCGATGACAGCCTCCCCGCCGGTGATCAGGTTCTTGCAGGTGAACCTGAATCATTGCAGGATGGCCCAGGACCTGCTGCAACTGTACGCCGCTGAAATCAAGGTGGATGTTGCGATAGTATGTGAGCCACACGCCATCCCTAGCGACTGTAGCTCGTAGCTGGTGAGCTCAGGAACCCAGAGA